AGTGGGGCGGGTTGGGGGGTCAGGTCTTGTGGCCGACCAGGCGCTCGATGCCTGCTGCCCCAGCCAGAGGTCAGGGTTGCAGGGAAACGCTTCCCCCCACCCCTCCGAGCACCAGCGCTGAGGGCCGGATGCCTGCACTGTGCCCTGTCCTGTCGCTCAGGTCCCTCCATTCCCCTCACTCCTGGGGACACCCCCGTCCGGAAGAAAGAAGAGCTGCTCTTTGACGATGAGGACGACCTCATGGCCGCCCTGGGGTTTGGAGACAGCCCCAGAGCAGAGAGGAGGCAGCCAGGAGACCAGTAAGGCCCTTCAGAGGGCAGGGGCCCTGGCCGAAGCTGGAGGGTGGGCACAGCGTGCCCCCAGGAGCCCCTCTGTTCACACGGACCAGCCCTGTGTCGCCTGTAGGGAAGGGCCCCGCCCTGCTCGCTCCAAGCTGGATGAGCTGCTGGGTCGAGGCGCGGCCACCACACACCTGGCTCGTCTGGGCACCGGGGAGCCCCTGGAGCTCAAGCTGGACAGGAAGTGCCAGAGGCCAGAGGGTGAGGAAGCTTGCGGGACAGGAAGGTGGGGGGGGCCCGAGAGCAGGTTTGGCCACAACCCATAATAAGCACTAAGCTTTACATCGGGACCCACACGCTGTGCCGTTTACCGAGGAGACGAGTGTCATGAAGTAATAATCACCACGTTCCATGCTGCTGCTTTTACTTTATGGCATTTGATCCATAAGGACAGTGTCACAGCTCACTACGTCCTCCACCTGCTCAGTGTGAGAACCATGCGGTGTTGCTCAGGCGCCACCCAGGGGTTGACGCGTTCTCCTCACACACGCAGCTCGGGCCTCACCTCCAGGCTGTGGGGCTGGGCCCCGCTCGCGCTTCAGCCGCTCCCCACGGTCTCCCAGGGCTGGATGGGTGACACCCAAACCCTCGCCCGCCTCTGGCAGAGCAGCCTCGCCTGACACGCCCGCTGCCAGGACAGAAAGCTTACGACACGCTGCCCTAGATCACAGGCTCCTTCATTCACAGACAAAGAAGACACCTGGGCCAACGGGGACTTCACCTTTGGGGCCTATCAGCCCACCGTGGGCTCCTCCGAGGGCCGGCAGTCCCGCCGGCAGCCAGGCAGGTAGGCAGGCCTCACCCTCCCACGACAGTCCTGCTGGGAGGCCACCCTGCGCTGCGCAGGGGCTGGGGCTCTGCGGGTGTGAGGGAGGAGGGAGGCCGCCCAGTCCCACCTACACATACAGGCCCAGTTCGCTCCCAGCCTCCGCAGAAGGAAGAGAATGGACTGAAGGAGGGTTTTTTCCTCCCAGTATAGATTTTTTAAAAATATATTTTATTGATTTTTTACAGAGAGGAAGGGAGAGAGATAGAGAGTTAGAAACATCGATGAGAGAGAAACATTGATCAGCTGCCTCCTGCACACCTCCCACTGGGGATGTGCCTGCAACCCAGGTACATGCCCTTGACCGGAATCAAACCTGGGACCTTTCAGTCTGCAGGCCGACGCTCTATCCACTGAGCCAAACCGGTTTCGGCCCAGTATAGATTTTAAACTTTGTATTTTAAAATAATTTCAAGCTGACAGGAAGGTTGTCAGAACAGTCAGTACAAAGAACTCCCTCCTGCCCTTCGCCCAGACTTCGCGGTTGCTGACATGCCATGTTGGGCGTATCGCCCTTCTTTCTCTCTAAATAACCCTCTGCACACAACGCGCTTCCAGTCCCTGCTGCCCGGCCAGAGACACACAGGCAGTGGCCGGGTACAGGCGCTGGGAACAAAATGACTGTTGTGGAAACCACTTGACCAGCTCTTCCCTCTGGGCGGGCGCGCCTTGGCTGGCATTTGGGCCTGGTCACTGCACGGGGGATTGTCCCGGTTCCTGCGATGGGTTTAAGGTGTCCGTGCTGCCGTGCTGCCCCCTGAGCGGTGTGAGCACCACGTTCACAGGGCCTCAGGCTGTGCCGAGCCCCTGGGCACCCCAGGCTCCTTGGTGTGGGCCTGGCAGTCTCCCCGCTCACCGCAGAAGGGAAGACCGATGGGGGCTCTTGGGACAGGCTGCTTGCCCTGCCCTAGACCCCCTCCTCTCTGTCTTGAAGTAGGTTCTTTGCAGAAGATGGCATAGACCTCAAGGGAGAACCAGGCTCCAAGCAGGCGGCCCCAGCGACCACCAGCCCCTCCCCACCCAGGAAGGGAGGGGCTGACTGGTTGGGCCTCAAGGATGAAGATGAGGACCTGCTCCCTCCCTCTCCCACCAGAGAGCCTCGCAGGAGAGGCTCCGCACTCCCGACACCCTCCGTGCCCCATCCCGAGAGACAGCCTTCTGCCCCAGGCCCGCGCTCTGCCCCAGCTGGGCTGCCCCTCTCCTCCCCCGGGGCACAGCCACCACCCAAGGGTGCAGATCCCCCTGCCAAAGCCAGCCGGCCTTCCCAGCCGGGAGTGTCTGCGGAGAAAGAGGAGGAGGACTGGCTGAGCCATGCCTTGTCTCTGAAGAAGGCCCGAGACCTGGCCAGAGAAGAGCGTGCTGCGGCCTCTAAGGGCCAGATCTCGGTGGGGGCAGCGGGCCAACCCCCTTCCAGCAGGTACGGGCTCGGGCTGCTGTCTCCAGTGGAGGGAGGACTGGGCCGGGTGCGGGAGCACCACCTCTTCCCTGTGCTTCCTTCCCTCTGGGCTGCACAGGGGTTTGGACTTGGGAGGAGAATTCCTTGGCCAACCGGTTGCGAGCCCGCGAGGGCTCGAGCCAGCAGCTGCTGGAGGGACCGCAGGACCCGCAGCACTAAAGCCGCCTGGCCAGCCTGCCGCCTCGGGGTATGTCTGCAGCCAGGGCTGGGGGTGAGGAGAGGCTGGGGGCCCAGCCAGGCCCATCTCTGCTCACTGAGGCCTCACTGTGAAACTGCCACCCACGGCCTCTCCAGCTGAGGGGATGACCTGTTCTTTCCTCACCCCCCACCCCCACCCCGTGTCCTCAGGGCCCCCGTGACTTGGAACCCAGCCTCCTTGGCCCTCTATGCAGGCGACTTAAAGAAGGACACAGTCCCTGGAGGCCTCTCTGGCACTGGTTTGTTTCTGCTTTGGGGGTAAAATCTGGGTGAGAAAGAGGCACTTTGAGCTTCTTTCGGGGCCCCCAGGAGACAGGGATGCTGGGACGCACACGCGCGCGCGTCCTGGAGAAACAGAGACAGACCTTGGGCCTCCTCCAGCTCAGTTCTCTACTGTTTGTTTTCAGAGCCTGCAGTGCGTTTCCTGAGCTCCCAGGATCCCACAGGGCCTGCTGGGCCGGTCCAGGTAGGGAAGGCGGACAGACAGGCACAGGTCTCAGTCCCATGATGCTGCTTCCCGCTCAGAGGCGGCGGCAGTGGTTCGACCTGGTGGCCTGCAGGAGGTCAGAGAGCGCACCGACTCTCCCACCAGCATTCCCTGCACTGAGCCTTGTCGGGCAGAGCTGGTGCCAACTGCCAGCACCGATGGGGAGTTAGAGGTGGTACCCGGGCGGCGTGGCCAGGATGCTGCATCCGAAAGCAGGGCTGCAGGTGCCTTGCTCCATCTAGAAAGCCGCCTCTATCCTGGCCACCCTCCCTCCGTGCCTCCACCTGCTACCCAGGTGTGGCGTCACCTCTGACCCTGGGCCTGAGGAGGCCTCGCCCCACAGGAGCATGTCCCTGGTAACCCAGGGCCCTTTTGGAGATGGGGGTTGGTGGCAGGAAACAGGCTGACAGCAAAGGCGTGTCGTAAGCTTTTGTCGCCATTAAGACTGCTGGGACGTAGCGTTTGTCCAGGAGTCTGACCACTGTGGGAGGCTGTTGTCCTGAGGAAGGAGGGACCACGTGACTCTCCGGGGCCCCTTCCTCTGCTTCTTGGTGTCATGTCCTTGGCCCCATCTGCAGCCCCCGGTCAGGTGCAGGGCCTGGGAGGCTCAGTGAGCAGAGGGCCCGAGGTAGCTGAGCTGCTGCGTCCCTGCCCCTGCCGAACCTGGAGCATGTCTCACCTTCTCAGTCCCCGCTGCTGGGCGCAGGGTACCAGCAGCAGCTCCTGGCCGCGCAGGTGCAGCTTCAGAGTGGCACCGCCCAGCTCCAGGCGGAGCTTCTGCAGAGCCAGGCTCGGCTGGCAGAGCTGGAGGCCCAGGTGAGGGTCTGGGCCCGGGTGAGGGTGGAGGCGGGGCTGCGATGGGAAGGCGTCACTGTGCGGCCGGAAGGCTCCCCCAGGGACCTAAGGGACCTGCCTCCCACCCCCCACGCTGTCTCTCCTGCTGTCTCAGGTACGGAAGCTGGAGCTGGAGCGGGCCCAGCACAAGCTGCTGCTGGAGACTTTGCAGCAGCGACACCAGGCCGACCTGGAGCTCATCGAGAATGCTCACAGGTACCCCTGCCCAGGGCCTTCGGGGCTCCCCAAGGCTCCTGGCCTGCCCCAGCCATGTGCTCGGGGAGGCCCTTCCGGTGGCCGCCCTCACCTTCTGAGCCCCACAGCTGGGTGTTCTGTTGGCAGAAGCCGCATCAAGGTGCTAGAAACTTCCTACCAGCAACGGGAAGAGCGGCTGCGGAGAGAGAACGAGGAACTGTCTGCCCAGTACCTGTCGCACTGCCAGGCGGCCGAGCAGGCCCGGGCCGAGCTCACCACCCAGCACCAGCGGCGCTTGGCGGCCGCTGAGCAGGAGAAGGACCAGGAGGTGGAGCGGCTGCGGCAGCTGCAGCGGTGAGGGCCAGGGCCAGGCGGGCAGGGGAGCAGGCTTCTAGGGTGGCCAGGGCAACCTGATTGCCATGACACCTCGAAGCCGTGCCTCTGAACCGAGGTGAGCACCCAGGCCAGCACACTGACCCATCCCGCCCATGAGAGGGGCATCGCCCTAGAGAGTGGGGTGGGTGCCCACAGGGCTGGCTGGGCTGGGCCTGGCAGCAGCAAGCAGGTGGGCTAACTTGGCCCAGGTCAACCCCCTCGCCCGCTGGGCCTCTCAGGTCTAGCTACTCGATGGACCCTGGTGTGGTTTGCACTGGGCGCCCGGCATGGCGATCTGGTTGCCTTTCTAGGTTAGAGCGGAACTAAGAAAAGGTGCACAGGGCGCTGACTGATGAGGCAGGCGGCCCGTAACACTCATCAGGGTCCAGGCGCACCTGTCTTCCTCCGCGTGAATGACGGGAGGAACAGCCCCTTAGAGCAGCGGTTCTCAACCTGTGGATCTCGACCCCTTTGGCGGTCGAACGACCCTTTCACAGGGGTCGCCTAAGACCATCCTGCATATCAGATATTTACATGACGATTCATAACAGTAGCAACATTACCGTTATGAAGTAGCAACGAAAATAATTTTATGGTTGGGTCACAACATGAGGAACTGTATTTAAAGGGCCAGAAGGTTGAGAACCACTGCCTTAGAGAGTGGATGTGGCATTAAAGCACCAAGACCGTTAAGGCTGACAGCCAGGGAAACTGAGGCAGTGCCCGGAGAAGAAAGGGAGGCCTGGGAGCACTGTGCCGGAGGCACGCTCCTCCCTGGAGACGCTGCCCACAGCCCGCCCTCCCACGGCCCTGCAGGGCCTCCATCCTGGAGATGCGCAAGGACCACGAGGAGCAGCTACAGCGGCTGAAGCTGCTGAAGGACCGAGAGATCGACGCCGTCACCAGTGCCACTTCCCATACGCGGTATGTGTGTGGTCCCGAGGTCCAGGCCCTGCCCACCCAGGGGGCGGTGCTGGGGTCCCCAGGCCAGGGTGACCGGATCCTCCCCAGGTCCCTGAATGGCGTCATCGAGCAGATGGAGAAGTTCTCCAGCAGCCTGAACGAGCTGTCCTCCCGTGTGGAGGCCTCGCACCTCACCACCGCCCAGGAGCGGGAGCTGGGCATCCGGCAGCAGGACAAGCAGCTCCGAGGTACCGCATGGCCTGCCTCCCGCCCCTCCCGTCTCAGTGGGAAGGTGGGCGGACACTGAGTGTCCTGTGGGCTGCCCAGCGCTGCAGGAGAGGCTGGGCCTGCAGCAGCGGGACATGGAGGAGGAGCGGAGCCGGCTCCAGCAGGTCATCGGGAAGATGGAGGCCCGCCTGAGCGAGCAGAGCCGGCTGCTGGAGCAGGTGAGCCGTCCTCCCTCCCGAGGGGCCCATCTCCCAGAGCCCCAGGGATTGTCAGTGGTACCCTGAGCTCACCTCCTGGGCCTCGGGACTTCCCTCTGCAATGTCTCCTGCCCCTTCCTGCCCCGGCCCCCCCATCCCCACCTCCGCGAGCGCCCTCACCATGGCCACGAGCCCCTCTGCCCAGCGCTGCATGTCCCACTTTCTTCCCAGGCACTTGAACCTGTCATGACGGCTGGTGCCTGTGACATTGGGAAAGATGTTGAACTCCCTACATAGCTTACATATAAGAGGAAGCTGTAGTCTTTAGAAAATACCTTTCCTTTCTTTTGTACTAGGTTATAACATGATACATTTCACTGAAAAAAATTAAACTACAGGAAACAATAAAGAAAACAATGAAAATCACCCACTAGCCAGAGAGAGCCCTGGTGCTGTCACGGTGCCTGTGGAGAGCAGGGTGCAGCTAGAGAGGGTTCCGTGTCCTGGACCTGTTTGTTCAGGCCTCACTGGGTAACTTTACGAAGCCCCTGCCTCGGGCCGGGCCAGTCCGCTTCATGCTGTGTGTGCCCTGCGTTCCCTGGCACGCGCAGTGTCATGCCCACCCGCTGCTTTGTCTGCTTGGCTGACGGGAGACAGGCAGGCGAGTGCCGTCATTGGCAATTCAGGGGCCGGGAATGCTGCTGCCTCCGGAGCTCCCAGCAGAGGGCCCTGAGCCTCAGCCCGGTGCCCTTAGCCCAGCGGTCGGCCGAGTCCTCCTCGCGTCCCTCGCTCGCGCCTCTCTGGAAAGGAGGTGTTGGTGACGTAGTGTGGGGGGCGCAGGTGGCTTTGCGCTGCAGTGAGGCCTGACGGGGCAGGTGGAGCGCCGAGGGCTCACTCCCAGCCCTGCCCCAGGAACGCTGGCGGGTGAGTGCCGAGCAGTCCAAGGCCGAGTCCACGCAGCGCGCCCTGGAGGAGCAGAGGAAGGTCCTGGCCCAGCAGACGGCCATGGAGCGGGAAGAGCTGGAGAGGGCCAAGGTGAGTCCAGCCACACCGTCTCCAGTGGCCATCCCTGCCGTGATGCCTGAGGACACCCACCCCTGACCTTTGCACCCTCGTCCCAGAGTGCCTTGCTGGAGGAGCAGAAGTCCGTCATGCACAAGTGTGGGGAGGAGCGGCGGCGCCTGGCGGCCGAGTGGGCCGAGTTCTTCACACAGCAGAAGCTGAGTAAAGAGAGGGCCGAGCGAGAGGTGGAGTGGGCGCTGCAGGTGGACGCCCAGCGGGAGGGCACCCTCATCAGCCTGGCCAAGGTAGAGCCCCGAGCTGCCAGCCCTGCCCTTCCCTTCCGGTCCTCACTGTCTGCTCCTCCATCAGGTTGGGTCAGCTCAGCAAAGGGCACAGCAACAATAATCATATAATAGTAACAGCTTCATTCTGCTGGCCTCATGCTTTACACACATTGCTCATTCGATCCTCATCAATCCCCAGGACTTAGACAGAAAAAAGGGGGGTTCAGAGAAGCTGAGCCCAGGGGTGAGGTAGCACAGAGGCATGGCCCTGGGTCTCCCTGACTGGTTCTGGGACCCCCTTACCCCGCCCCCTTCTCCCAGAATCAGGATCAGATGGAGCCACTGCAATGAGGCGGGCGGGCCAGGGGCTCCTCAAACCCTGAGCAGAGCCTAGTTCAGCTCCCGAGAGGACACAGCAGTGAAGGCTTTGCCGTCTCCAGGAGCAGGCAGAGCTGAAGATCCGGGCAAGTGAGCTCCGGACCAAGGAGGACCAGCTGGCGGCCGAGAGAGAGGCTCTGGAGCGGGAACGGGAAGAACTGCGGCGGGAGAAGGAGCGGGTCAGCGCCGCCGCCCTGCGCGTCAGGCTCCGCTCCGAGGAGATGGACAAGATGAGCCAGGTTCCGGCAGCTCGGCTGGGCGCGTGGCCGGGGCTTGGGCAGTGCCCTGTCCTCAGACAGCCTGGCTGACCCAGGTGGTCTCCCCGCAGGTGGCCTCGGAGAAGTACCAGGAGGGGGAGCAGGCATTGCGGGAGGCCCGGCAGGTGCAGTCAGAGCATCAGGCCCGGCTACAGCTGGTGCAGCAGCAGCTGGAGCGGCTGCAGCAACAGGAGCAGCACATGCACCAGGCAAGGCTCCCCCCCACCCCCACCCAGCTCCTGCTCCCCCAACTGGCTCCACTGACCCCCCCACCTCCAGACCCTCACGGCCGTGTCCTTCTCTCTGGGGACGGGGGACAGGAGCGTCTGAGTCTGGCCCAGCAGAGGCTGCAGCTGGACCATGTCCGACAGGACCTGCCCTCTGGTCCCGTGGGGCCACTCGCCCAGGCCCAGGGCCTGGCAGCCTCCGGCCCGAGTGGTAAGTGGCTCCGGAAGGATGGACTTTGACCATCGGGTGGGCAGTGCCAGGAGCATCCTGCCCACACCTCCCTCCACTCAAGTGAGGGGCTAGCCGGTTTTAAAGTTCTCTCGTTAAAACATCTTGACACAAGGAATGCATGTCCATTATAGAAAAATACATTTGGCCCCAGCTGGTTTGGCTCAATGGATAGAGCGTTGGCCTGCGGACTGAAGAGTCCCAGGTTCGATTCCAGCAAAGGGCACAGGCCCGGATTGCGGGCTCGATCCCCAGTGTGGGGCGTGCAGGAGGCAGCCAGTCAGTGATTCTCTCTTATCATTGATGTTTCTATCTCTCTCTCCCTCTCCCTCCCTCTCTGAAAGCAATAAAAATATATTTTTAAAAAATACATTTGGAAATAGAGGGAAGAAAACTTTTAAAATAAAATGTCACTCTCAACTGCACACTCTAGAGACAACCACTTTTAACGTTTTGGTGCGTGGTGTTCTAGACTGCGTCAGTTTTAAAAACAAAATTGACATCATATCATATACTGTTTTGTACCTTGATTTTTTAATTTGGAAATATACATATAGAACATGTTTTCGGATCAGAAATTAAACATTTAACCATACTTTTTAATCAGTATAAGCTTCCATTAGGAGGCTGTTCCATACTTTCAATGATTTTCTACTGGGTGATTTTTTTGTCACTAAGAAAAACAGCACATCAGTGAAAATCTGTACATACGTCTCTGCACTTTTGCCTGATTATTTCCCTTGAATAAGTTCCTAGAATTAGACTTTCCACGTAAAATCCCCCGAGCGTTCTCAAAGCCTTTTGAGAGTTGGTGGAGAAGGGGGGTCCTCGGTGCACCCACCGCGTGGTAAGAAGGCCCCCGGGAGACAGGCTGTGGCCCCCCTGCCCTCCCATCCACACATGGTCCCTGACCTCCTCCTCAGCCTTTTCAGCCATCATGGCTCCTGCTCCCGCCAATCCTCAGGGCATCCAGCCATCAGCCACCCTGGGCTCCTCGCTTCGCCACACCAAGCTGGTGCTGCTGCAACACACAGCCGAGCAGGTAAGCACCCCATAGCAAAGGCGGACGCCACCCAGGCCCGCCACTCCCCCTGGACCGGGGTCCTCGTGGTCACCTTGGTGACAGGCAACTCAGGGCAGTCAGAGAGGAGCACGTCCTGGCCCTGAGGAGGGCTGGGCCCACCCCCGGGAGGGGACCGTCTCAGACCTGTCCCGTCGGCCAGGTTCTGTTCGAGCCATTGCATATTCTTGCCAGGGACCTCACAGTAACCCTGTGATAGCAGTGGCAGCACTTCCACTCACAGCACTTCCTGTTTCAGGCTCTGTACTGAAACATTGCCCTCCCCCAGCCTACAAGGCAGGTGATGCTCTTCTCTCTAGTTTGCAGACAGGCTTAGAGAGTGACGTTATGTACTAGCAAGTGGCCTTGCCAGAACCTGGTCTTTCACTCCAGTGCGCCTGCTCCTTCCAGGCCCCGCTTCCAGCTCACAGCTTCCCAGAGCCAGGGAGTAAGTGGGGAGGGGCCTGGAGTGAGGTCTGGCCTATAGCACCCGGGGACCCACCTCACTCAGTCCCTTGAGCCTGTGTCCCTGTTCACGGAAGCGGTACAGGAGGGGGCCAGAGGGGGTGCTCACCCAGCTCTGCCTTTCAGGACCAAGACTTCTTGGAGAATGAACAGTTCTTCCTGGAGACCCTGAAGAAAGCCTCCTACAATATGACATCCCACTCAGCCTAAAGGGCCCTGCTGCCTCCTCAACAGAAGACTCGGACCCTGGCACTCTGTCCTAGCGCCCCCTGGCTGCCAGCTCCAGGGAGGGGTGCCCAGGGAAGGCTCTGAGATGCCCAGGGCCTGATAACAACTCTTCAAGTAGATAGGGTATAAGGGCATTCCCACCACACCACCGCAGCTGAGGCAGGCAGGTGCCCCCAGGCCTCGGGTTTGACAATGGCCTCTGGGGAGACACAATGCTGAGTGTCTCTGCCCCCAGACACTGTCAGCTTCAGCTTTGGTTCTCTGGACCCCTCCCCTTGTCAGTAGGCAGGTGGTTGAGGGATCTTGTCACCTGGGCCTCTTCTGAGGCAGGGGGTCTTCTCCAGGGATGCCCCGAGCAGCCTCCTGCCCTCCCACCTGAGGCCAGCAGAGACAGCACAGGGCCCCCTCCCTAATGGGGACGTGGAGGCGGACCACGTGTTTTGAAGGGCCTCTGTCCTCTTGGCCATGGGTGGGGGTGCAGGGGCAGGAGAGGGTGGGAATCGCAATTACTTGTGAATTACTTGGAAGGAACATGTCCTGGTGAGCACGAAGGCAGAGGCGGCGAGCTGAGTGGGCCCTGAGCAGGCAGTTTGTGTGTCTGTCGCAGAACAGCTTTCGGGGGAACTTACTTGTTTACCCACAATCTACAGCCTTCATCTTGGACCCATTAAATTGCTATATGTTTTTTAATCCAACTACCTTTCATTTCTTGCCATATTGGGTTCAGAGATAGCCCTTCTCTTTCTGGTTCTACAGTTTCACTCTGTATGTGCGTATCCACAAACAGAACAGAATGTTGATTTGTGTGTTTACAGATCTCTCCAGCCCTGGTCAGTGTGGCTCGGTTGGAGTGCAGTCGTTCCATACACTGGAAGGTGGTGGGTTCAGTTCTGGGTCAGGGCACGTGTGGGTTTGATACCTGGTGCATGCAGGAGGCAGTCTACTAGTGTTTTGATGTTTCTCCCTTCCTCTCTCTAAAATCAATTTTAAAATACCTAAAATTTAAAAAATATCTATATGGTATTATCCTATAGTAGAGGCCCAATGCACGAAATTCATGCAAGTGGCTCGGCCCTCACAGTCATGGCAGCTGCCTCGGCCCTCGCAGCCCCAGCTTTGTCCGGAAGGTCATTCGGCTGTCCAGCTAATTAGCATATTATGCTTTTATTATTATCTATACTAATAAAAGGGTAATATGCTAATTAGACTGGACATCTTCCAGATGCCCTTCTGGACAAAGTCATGGTTGCGGGGGCCGAGGCAGAGGTGGTTAGGGGTGATCAGGCCAGCAGGGGAGGGCAGTTAGGAGGCAATCAGGCCGGCAGGGGAGCAATTAGGGGGTGATCAGGCTGGCAGGGGAGAGTTAGGGGGCAATCAGGCCAGCAGGCAGAGGCAGTTGGGGGGCTATCAGGCTGGCAGGCAGGGGAGCAGTTAGGGGGCGATCAGGCTGGCAGGCAGGGGAGCAGTTAGGGGGTGATCAGGCTGGCAGGCAGAGGCAGTTAGGGGCAATTAGGCCAGCAGGGGAGCAATTAGGGGCATCAGGCTGGCAGACAGAGGCGGTTAGGGGCGATCAGGCAGACAGGCAGGCAAGCAGTTAGGAGCCAGCAGTCCCAGATTGCGAGAGGGATGTCCTGGATTGGAGAGGGTGCAGGCTGGGCTGAGGAACTCCCCCCCCCCCACACACACACACACATACCCCGTGCACAAATTTAGTGCACTGGGCCTCTAGTAGATAATGAAAGGCTAATATGCAAATAGACTGAATGGTGGAATGACCAGTCACTATGATGCACACTGACCACCAGGGGGTAGATGCTCAATGCAGGAGCTGCCCCCTAGTGGTCAGTGCAGTGCTGCTCAGCCAGAAGCCAGGCTCACAGCTGGTGAGCACAGTGGCAGTGATGGGAGCCTCTCCCACCTCCGTGGCAGCACTAAGGATGTCCAACTGCTGGCTTAGGCCTGCTCCCCGGGGGTGGGGGGAGGGGGGAGCCTAAGCCGGCAGTCGGATATCCCCCGAGGGCTCCAGACTGGGAGAGGATGCAGGCCGGGCTGAGAGACCCCCTCCCCCAAATGCACAAATTTTGTGCACCGGGCCTCTAGTATTTATAGTACCAATAAACTTTGTTTTTCCCAAACTTTTTTTTTACATTTAACCTTGTTTCATGTAGCTGCAATTCATGAATTTTAACTACTGAATACTATTTCATTGTTTGAATATACCAGGGTGGGGGAGGGGGGAGCCTAAGCCGGCAGTCGGACATCCCCCGAGGGCTCCAGACTGCGAGAGGATGCAGGCCGGGCTGAGAGACCCCTCCCCCAAATGCACAAATTTTGTGCACCGGGCCTCTAGTATTTATAGTACCAATAAACTTTGTTTTTCCCAAACTTTTGTTTTTACATTTAACCTTGTTTCATGTAGCTGCAATTCATGAATTTTAACTACTGAATACTATTTCATTGTTTGAATATACCACTACTCATTCTTTTGCTAATGGACATTTATGGTGTTTACAGTTTTATTGGGATTTTATTGTAAACAATCGGGCCACGACAGTGCTGGACATGCCACCTTGGCATATATGTAAGCACTTCTCTAAGGTAAATACTAGAAGTAGAACTTCTAGGTCATAGAATATGTGCTTAACTTTACTAGTTAAAACTGTACTAATTACTGGCAAATTGCTCTGTAAAGCAGTTGGACCAATTTACCCTCAAACAGTGGCCTTCAATGCCTATTTAAAACTGGCCAGGCCTGGGACCTCCCGCCTACAAGCTACACACCATGGCCAGAGGGTCTGAGGCTCAGGGAGCTCCGCGCATCGGGGCATCTGCCAGGCCGGGCCTACCGCCCCGGGTCTGTGCTGCCCCCCGGTGGCCGGC